GGGGCCCTGCCCGCTCTGCCCTCGCCAGCGGCGGTCGCTGCCCGTCCCCAGGAGCTGGGAGCCTCTGCTCCTCGGAGGCAGAACAGCACCATGCAGGTGATGAGGGTAAAATGGCTGAAAAAAATACTAGTTTTAAAAACTTTATATGAAGTAAAATGAGGTGCATGGTGCTGTTGCACTTAAAGCTTTAAGAACTGAGTAGAAACAAACTAAGACAGTAACGAAAAGGAAGTTGACAAGGAAAGAAATCTGTGGAGTTTGGCAATAGTAGAAAGGCACCTAACGGCCAATTAAAACAAATTGCTGTAAGGGTGGACCATTTCTTTATGGTTAGAGGAAAGGTGTGGAAGAGCATAACTTTCTCTGCAAACCCTTGCCTTAATTTAAAAGAATAGAAGAACCACAAACAGAAGGATAAAGCTGAACTGGTACCTTCATCCCCGCAGTCAGTAGTAGCACTCCCAGCAGTGCTCCTTCGTTGCCGTTGGAAAGCTGGGAATCAGTATTTTGAGCCCCACGAGCAGAAGCGATGTGTTGAGTGGTGGTGCGGGTGGGCGGTTCTGCTAGCAGGGTGGCGTGGTGGAACAGTCGAGGTGATTGCCTTTCCTTTTTCTCCTTATGACCGTAGGAAGAAGGGGTTTGGTGGCACAGCTGGAATGGCCTATGTTGGGACAGTGTGCTCCAAGAGCCATGCAGGAGGCATTAATGTGGTGAGATATTTTTAGTGATACTGTGAATGTGATCAGGATAAGAGTTTTGCACTCCAGAAGTCTTCCTCGAAGTGCACAGTCTTTAATAACAAAGCTGAAGTGGCTCAGTGGTCCCCAGCCATTTCTGGCACTTCCATGATATCTGGATCACAACTTTTCTGTATCTTCTGCATCCTCTGCTCAGCCTTCCCTCTCCTCAGTGTGCAGCACTCATGAAAAAAGGGACAGAATTTCTCTGCTGACATTTTAAGCACCCCTGCCTTAGAAGTACGTGGGAGCTGTGGGTGTTCTCAAATCTGTCCCCTGCTGTCAGCTTGACCTCCACAGTGGTGAACTCCTCGAGCGGTGCCGGCTGACTGCCCTCTTTGTGTGAAATCACAGAGCGTTAACGAACTGGATTGCTCATCTCCGATAACTGGCAATCCCAGCAACCTTGTTTTCTTGGATTAGTGACAGAAGTACTGGAATTGGAGGTTGCATATTTAAGGAGGTTTGGGCTGGTGTGGAGAACTCTGTTATTTGTGTTAATATTGCAGCTGCACTGGAAAGTAGAGGTTGTTAAGTAGTGTCCCAGACATGTTTATCTAAGGACTCTTATGACTAAGCAAACAAGATGCACTTGGTTGGAAAGCAGGCACAGGTCGTCTGAGAGTCCTGGTAGCGTTGAGACAGAATGACAGGAGTGTCTTTGTGGCACATAAGTAAACATTGACTTTCTCAGTATCAGCTGTCCACTGATTTTCTTCTGTTTTGTTCTTGTGCAGTTTGGAAGAATCAGCATCCAGATGTTTGCATCAATTATGGCTCATGAGCTGGGACATAACCTGGGGATGAACCATGACGACGAACGTGTCTGTCACTGCGGAGCAAGCAGTTGCATTATGAGCTCTGGAGCATCGTAAGTAACTGCCAAAAGGAAAGGTGCTTTTCGAGGCTCAAAACTCCCCACTTATGTGCTTAGTTTTTACAGGGTGCTTTCATCTTCAGAGTACTTTACTCTTGCAAAGAGTCGTGTCACGCTTTTGTGGCTCATGGGCAAAGTGAATGTTACCCTTGTTCTACAAACTTGAGGGAATGCTTGTGGGTTGACTTAAAGATGAGCTCATGTTTTCTGTTGCAGGGGGTCGAGGAACTTCAGCAGCTGCAGTGCAGAAGACTTTGAGAAGCTGACTCTCAACAAAGGTGGAAGCTGCCTGCTCAACGTTCCCAAGCCTGACGAAACCTATAGTGTCCCGTACTGCGGGAACAAGCTGGTAGATGCTGGGGAGGATTGTGACTGTGGTTCACCAAAGGTTAGTAGCTTGTGTGCTTTACAAATGCTGCCAGGGTGGTCTTGTGTGCCCCTCGCTGGAGATGGGACTGCATGTGGCGGAGGGTGCAGTTTCTTGACATTCGCGGCGCTTCTGTTTTCAGGAATGTGAAAGTGATCCTTGCTGTGAACCAGGCACCTGCAGACTCCGACCTGGTGCTGAATGTGCTTACGGCGACTGCTGTAAAAACTGCCAGGTGAGAGACTCAGGTGTGATATTCAGAAGTGTTCTCCGGTGGCTGAGAACAGGAGAGCGTTGGCCTTCCCGGCGCTTCTGCGAGAGGGAGTTGCCCTGTGTGTACCCAGCACCCACCGAGGGCTTCAGAGCAAAGCCGTTTGGGGGGGCACGTTGTGGGTCAGGTGCAGTGTTCGTCTCCGCTGTAAGGTGTCTATTTTCTGATGCAGTTTCCCCCTCCTCTCTCTCTCCAGCTGCTTCCTGGAGGAACCGAGTGTCGGGCGAGTAGCAACGAGTGTGACCTTCCCGAGTACTGCAACGGCACGTTCCAGTTCTGCCAGCCGGACTTCACCGTTCAGAACGGCCACCCGTGCCACAACGAGGAAGCCTACTGTTACAACGGCGTTTGCCAGTACTACGACGCGCAGTGTCAGGATATCTTTGGCCCAAGTAAGGAAGAGCACAGTATTACAATTTTTCTAGGAGATGTAGCTAGAGGAATACACTAAGTTTATTTAGAATATATTCAGTTGTTTTCCTGTAACAAAGACCAGCTGGCTTTGGCAAAGGATTCAAACCAGTAGTATTTATGGCTAAGCCTTCACACATTCTTCCTTTGTTACTGCTGCACATGCTGGTGATTCGAGTAGTGATTTTCTTGTACTGATCATTCCTGTTACAGTGGGGCTTCTGGTGTGTAGGGCTGTAAAGAAGCCGTGAAGAAATATCAAGTGTTGTAATTGACTCAATGTTAAGTGACTCTTTCTCTCTCTCTTTTTAAACTTGGAACCTGGTAGTAGGGATATTGTCACCTCTTCATTGTTCTGATCGAGTTCTTAAGCTATCTGTGCTGCTGCATGGAAAATACCAGGTGTAGCAGGATAATTGCTCTGGGTAAAGGAGACATGATGATGCGAGATGTTTCTGTCCCTGTTTAACTTGGTTCCTCTGTCTGGGGGATGGGCTGTTGTTTGCAGAAGCCAAAGCAGCCCCCAACATTTGTTTTGAAGAAGTGAATTCCAAGGGTGACAGGTTTGGCAACTGTGGTTTCCATGGCCATGACTACAAGAAATGTTCCAGCTGGTGAGTTGAGCCCAGTGCATCAAGAAGTTCCTAAATGTATCATTGAGAATCCTCACTGGGGTGCTGTAGTATTAGATTGGGGTGTTTTAGCAGGTGAACTGGGGAGAGACATGTTATCCCATAATCTGACCTTTTTGACTATATGCATCATTCTGAAACCACAGCGAGGTGGCTTAGAAATTCCGTGTTTTATGTGAATTTCTGAAGCTATTAGCACTTAACTCGAAGCCTCCGCACTAGAGCGTTTGTAGGTTTTGTTGGCATTTGTTGTAGTTTGTCTGGCTTCGACTCCAGCACATAGTAACTGAAATGAGTTTGAATGTTCAGGCATTTCTTCTCTAGGTGGGTTTGAAGCTTTCAGGCTGGTGCTGCAGTTTCCTGCGCGTGCGGTTTGGTGGCCTCACGGAATCTGTGCGTCGCGTGTTCAGGCGCGGGGCTGTGGCAAGGAGAGTTTGTGCACGTTCCCATCATGGATGGTTCCTATTCTAAGGTGTTCACCTACAGAAAAACAAGTAGCAAATGGTCAGGTTTTCTTTAATGTAGAGATCCCAGCAGCTTACAGAAAGAAAGGATAAATCCGTACTCTTGGAGCACTGAAATGAGGCCCAGCTCAGTTTTGTTTGGTGAGTTGCCTCAATTTTGTTTTCAAGCAGTGTCTTCCAGTAGAAAGAAAAGGTCTTACCAAATGCGTGATAGTCTCTTCCTCAGAATGAATGCAAGTGTCACTACAGTATTCATATGTTGATGTTGTAGGAATGCCATGTGTGGGAAGCTGCAATGTGAAAATGTGGAAACTATGCCTGTTTTTGGAATTAAGCCTGCTATTATCTGGACTCCCATTAGAGGCACCACCACATGCTGGGGTGTCGATTTCCAGCTAGGCTCTGATGTGCCAGACCCAGGAATGGTGAATGAAGGCACCAAGTGTGGTACTGGAAAGGTAATTAACAAGAAAAAAGTGATTTCTTAAAGTAATCATTTGAGGTTTTCATGTGAACACAGTTTTCAGCTGCATTGTTTCATGAATATTTATGGCCGTTAATTTTTTTGATGCCTGTAGTTAATGCAAAACTGGGAGAGTCCGTTGGCTCCCGGCACTGCCTCGTACTGCAGTGCACGCGCAGAAAAAGGGTGATGAGCCTGTTGCTTACAGATGAAGCAAAAGAAATTAAGTAAGAGCCAGAATCTTTGCTCTGTCGAGCAGGAAGAGCTCAGCACACACCAGAGTGCCTTTAAGACAACTGTCAGTTAAAATCCAGCTGAACTAAACGGCCCGGCAGCGTAGCCCCGGCAGAGGATCGTGCGTTCCGCGTATCCTTACTGTGCACAATTTAGTGGCTCTTCCTTTACATTCAGGCTAGAGACAAAAGGCTTCCAGTGGCAGCTCAGGCCCCACACTGGGAAGCCTTTTGTAGAACAGAGTTTCTGCAGAGCTGGCGTTGGTCACGTAAGGGTGTGAGAGCTGCCTTGTGTCAGCGAGCACGGATCTGCGGAGCGGGAAGGAGGGGCAGGTCAGCAAAATGCCATCTTGCTTCATGTCCGTGCGTCTCTCCATTCTCCCAGATCTGCAGGCACTTCCAGTGCGTGAGTGCCTCCGTCCTGAACTACGACTGTGATGTGGAGGGGCAGTGCCACGGGCACGGGGTGAGTAGAGCAAGAACCGCCGCTCCTCCTGGTGGTCCGCTTCCATAAAGGCTAAGCCTGTAAGTTTTGCTATAATTAGCAGGATTTCTATAAGGTCCTCTGACATATTTGTTACAAGAACATTAGATTTTTAGAGCCCAATAGCCATGCAAATACATAACCAGACTTTTTTTAATCAAAGGTCCCAGTCTGAGCCAGGTTCGCTGTAATTGTGCGTAATCAGTAGTGACCATATGCTGGCCCCTTTTGCTCGTGGGAAGTCTTTTTCCCTTCTGAGTTTAAAGCTGTAACTAGTAATTGTGATGCTAGGTGCAGTGATTAAAAAACAATCTGTGGGGTTCTTGAGGATGAATTTTGCTATAAAAAGCTGCTTTTTGGCACTGTTGATAAGAAAAGTGCCTTTAACAGTCAGCAGAAAATGGACTGAAGTTATGTAAGTTGAGCAAGTTTGTAACTTCATTTTTCTGTTTTGTTTAACTGTAAAGCTCTCTATAAAATGTCTCTGGACAAGAGAGCCTATAACTGTATCAAAAAAAATCTTTGACAAAAGCTCTTAAGATGATATTTTTTTGCCAGGCAAGAAGAATTCCCAATTCCAGTATTACTAATGTAATTTGAAACTCTGCATCTCACCAAAAAAAAAAAAAAGAAAGAAAAAGCCATGCTTTTTAAGCCGTTGGGATAGCTAATCTTTGGAAGCTCTGCCTGAACAATGCTGTGCTTGCTCAGTCATGTGAAATCTTGAGACTCCTGGCCAAGGACTCTTTAGAATTGACGTGGCAGTTACTGGTTAAAGTTCTCCAGGCTGAGTGATACGGGGAGGGACAGAACGGATGGTCATGGCTACTGCATGCGGATTTTAAATATAGGGAAACTTAAGTTACTGAATATTTCGATCGACCTTGTTGTGGTTTTTGTGTTGTTTAAATACAGGTGTGCAACAACAACAGGAACTGTCACTGTGAAGCAGGCTGGGCCCCTCCTTACTGTGACACTAAAGGCTACGGGGGAAGCGTGGACAGTGGCCCCCCGTACAACGGCAAGTGGCTGAGGCATCCCCAGGGTGTGGGCTGGTCTCGCAGGGCTGTGCTGGGCTGAGCCCAGTGCCCCAGTGCTCCGAGGCAGCTCACTGCTGGTGGCTGAAGTGCTGCTGGCTGGCTCTTCACCACGTTTCACTTGCAAATATCTCTAGTTAAGGTTCTGGGATCCAGGTGTTGCCCTTCTCTCTTTTGGGATGCTGGGGCTCTGTAAAGAAACTGGGCTGCTTTAAGTGCCTTCAGGTGATTTCTGCCACCTTGGAGCAAGATCCTCTTGGACTGCTCTGTATTCAAGCTGGGAACTGAAACCCCCTTCCATTCTGAGATACAAACAAAACGTGAAATTTGGCTGAGGATGTGGATTCAAATCCACGGGTGTGAATCTACATCTCCATAAGGACACACTGCTTCTAGCAGCGGTGGCAGAGAAGAGTTGCTGCCCTGTTCTGGTGGCTGCATGTGCATCTGCACTGCAGGCAGGAGGAACATCTGCATGAGGTGGGCTGGGGCAAGAGAAAGGCTTTTTTCATACAGCCTGTAGTGCAGAAATTTGCTGCATGTAAAAATGTAGAGATTGTGAAGAACCTGAGTTCTTTGCCTACAGCAAACAATGGTAGGAGAAGAGAAAGATTGAGGATCAGACCAAAGGGCAGAAGTTCTGTTTTCCTCTCTTTCAGTTGAGCTCATAAGATCTTCACAGTAATGCAGTGGAAGAAAAATTAGGTATTGATCTAGTAATTCAATATGCTGTTACAGCCTAGGATATCATGGCATGTACAGTTCTTTCATCTTTGAGCAGAGAATCCCTGTGAAAAGATAGTCAGAAAAGGTTATGTTCAGGCATATCTTTTGCACTTATTAGATTCTTTAGTTTTTTTCTGTGAAAAATGGAAAATAGTTGTAGAACCAGTTCTACCACTGGTAGATATTCACTGCTACAATGAGTCAAGTGGTGGTAATGCCATGTAATACTTTTTTTTCTTCTCCGTTGTTTTGTTCCCATCAGACAAAGACACTTCACTGAGAAATGGGCTGCTGGTATTTTTTTTCCTGGTCCTCCCGCTGCTTGTAGTTGCTGCTCTGGCATTTGCAAAGAGAGACAGGCTGAAGCGATGCTTTAGAAGATTCATGTCACGCTGCCATTCGTAAGTAGATTCTCCTTTTTACCTTCCCCTCTGCCCTTTTGAAGTAGTCCATGGATATTTGTTTACACAAGGCAGTACCCAAGTGCGGAGGCACATTCCCTTCCCAAGACGGCCAGCTAAAGGTCCTGCATCAAACGATGCATGGAGCTTGCCCCGGGCAGTGACAGAAGAGATAAATTCAGCTTACACTAAATGGCCAGAGCACTTTCTTTTACCATTATGCTTGTCGTCATGCATTGCTGATGGGTTTTGTATTTTTGGGTCCCATCTTTGGTATAAAGTGGCAAAATTAAACTGTCATAGTCCTAAAGAGAAAAAGGGTTATGTTGTTGGTTAGATTTGTGGCAAATGTTACCTTCCTGACATTTGGCGCGCGCTAAGATAGCACAAACCCATCCGGCGGTTGGCAGTGCCTGGCTTCGTAGCGGCATCGTCGCTCCTGCGAGGCTGCGTGCCCACAGCCGGATCGGTTGGGTTGCAGGTCACTGCAGTCACCACCGCCCAGGACAGAAACCGAACCGAGAGACCACCAGCACAGAGGCTTCTCGCACGGCATGCCTTACGCTCCAAGGAGTGCTCCCATGGTAGGAATGGCCCACTTTTCCTTGCTTTATTTGCTGTCTGTTGCTTTAAAGTAACAGATAAATGCAGTTTGTGTAATTTTTGCCCTAATAAAAGCTTCAAAGTGATACCGTTTTTCATTTCTGCAAATTGGGTTTTGTCTTTGCTAAGAGGCAAAGAGAAGAATTTTTTCCTAAGATGTGTGGGAGGAACACCTCAGTTTCCCACTGTCTAAGCTTTTTTACAGGCTGTGCTTGGCTTGGCAAGCAGTTCACCTGCTTTGCTACCCCCTTCCCCTTACACTGGAACCCCCCACCCCCCCGAGGAGAGGAGCAACCCTTGCAGTCCCTCTCCCCTCTCCTTTGCAGACCCGTTATCTCTCTGAATGCAGTAAGTAGCCAAAGCACATTTGCAGAACAGATCAAACGCTTGTTGTGATCAGCCTTTCTGTTGTGTTTTTTTTTTTCTTTTCAAAAAGATAGTACTTTTCAGGCTGCTGTTGCTTCTTTCTGCTTAGTTTCTCAGACGGAAAGAGCAACTCTGACATTTCTGGGTTTGTTTGCAAGTGGTCTTAAACGTCACTTAACTAATGAAACAAGCGTTTAAGTTCCCTATGTGCGAAGTTTTGAACCTTCTCATGTTTCTTTCATAGGATATGGAACCAAACACCTTTCCTGTTCCATCTTACCCGGTTAACCAGCATCCTCAGCAGGCCTACCACCAGTCTTACTACCCATCTCCGCAATACCAGGCACCGCAGCCACAGAGGCTGCCCACAAGGTTGGTTGAGTTATTGCAAATAACTGTTGGCAATTGCGCTGATGTGTACAGACCGTCGCGGCCTTCGTCTCTGTAAGCATTGGGGTGCTTTGTCACACACCACGTGCAAGCAGGACAGACCTTCTATTGAAGGAAGTTTCTCCTTCATTTCACACTGTGGCACTGAAGTGCCGTTATCCATAGCGTTCATTTTACACACTGTCACCGCCACCTTTTGATTAACAGGTTTCAGGATGCTCTTCTGGGGCCAGATTAGCCCTGCGTACAGGTGAATAAAATGCTTCTCAAAATATGCATTTTAAAAAGAAATTACTCAAAAATCTGTCATTTTGCAGATTTGTGAATGTTATTGCCAAGTACTGGATCGTTTTTCATTAACTTTGAACAGAAAGTTTTCCTTTATTTTTCATTTTACTTTTTAATTGTCTTTCTGAGATGTAATGCCTGTGCCATAAGACGTGCGTATCCAGAAAGTGCAAGGTGTCGAGAGGGAGAGCTTTACAACAGCTGCTGGTGCTGGGAAACTCGTGGGCTCTTTAAACTAGTTTGGGAAAAATGGTGTGTAACAAACTGGAGTTGCCTGAGCATTTCGGGCAACAGAAAACAGAGTGTGGCCACGGCATGTTCAAAATGAGTCTGCAGTGTGGGAGCAGCAGCGTCGGTGGCCGGGGGGTCTCCGGGGGGATCGCCGCGGTGCTCGTGCCGGGCGAGAGGGAGAGGAAGGAGTGTGTCGGATGCGTCACCCGGACTGACCACAGCTTCTCTGTCCTCTCGTAGGCCACCGCCTCCGCAGCAGAAATGTGTACCTCAGGGACCTCCTCCATCACAGCAAAAACGTTTACCTCAGGGACAGTATTTTCCTTCTCGACCGGCGCCTTTGCCTCCCAAATAGCGTTTGGCTTCTTTGGGGCCGTCACGTGAGCTGCCCTGTTCACTCCGAGCTGAAATTGCAGTTATCCCTCTTGCATCGAGCGCCCGTGGTCATCCCAGAAAGCCTTCTGCAGCGGGGATAAGGCAAATGAGATTCCGAAAGGAGGAATGTAAAACTTTAAACTAAATACCTCTACCAAAGCTACAGGAACTGAAAGCATCCAACCTGTTCCCAGGTCTGTCCGAGTGCCGTGGCTCTGTACGCCGCAGCCGGGCTGGCCGGCGGGAGGGGAGCAGCCCATGGTCAGACGGTCCGTACAGCACAGCACTTGGGAGTTGCTTTTGGTTTCCAGTTGTGCGATGAGCCCTGGTAATGAAATTGTCTGATTTCTTGTCGTCTTTCTAAACGTACAGCGAAGAATTGGAGTAACCCATACTTGTTTTCAAAACAAGGAAATCTGGCCAATTAATTTGAAATTGTTTTGCATGGACCGGAAAAACGTTATCCATTTCCACGTGAATGGCACAAGTGAAATAAGGTATCAGTGTACTTTCTCAGAGGAAGATAAATATAATATAAACATGTTTATGCATGTATATATGTTTATTGATGTGTAATAACGCACTTAAATTCTTACTTTCATGCTGACTGACACTAAGCTGTGCTATATGAGCACTAAGTTTAATGGGTTTAAATCAGTAATTCTGAGTGGCTAAATGAGAGTCCTGTACTAATTTCCACTAATACCGTGAACAGGCGAAAAAAAGAAAGGTACGCAAAGACATGGCCCTATTTTGGTTTTGAAAACCAGGGTGCTCTTAGATTTTCTCTTGGATCTAAAGACTGAGTACAAGTCCCTGCAGAACCCTGAGAGGCAAAAAACAGCTGTCTGCCCAAACCACCTGAGCTTCTCTGAGCACTTTGAGCAGGAACCTGTTGGCTAACACAGCCCTTTCACCTCATCCTCACACCTTTTTGTGCCAGGCAGGATGCTCACACAGGCGAACCTGCAGGAGGTCGGACGGCCGTCCCTTCCTACACCGCCGACTGAAGGAGGTTTTAAACTTTTTTCTGGAAAGGGACGTTCAGCGTTTCGTGTGCTGGCCGAGGAGAGGAGGTCTGTTAGTCCTGGTACTGTCGTGCCGTGGTAGGAACTGGACGCTGGTGGTCACAAACAGCAATCTGTTGCACAGCCTTGCTAAGAGTGAAACAAGTACTGAAGAGAGTGCTTGGCTTTCTCACTTTGTGCTGGCCGCCAAGTACAAGCTCACTCTGTAAAAATCCCCCGTAGTATTGCCAAAAAAATTTATTTTGCTCTGTAAATACATTATATAAAGATATATATATATATAGTGTTTGCATTTGCAGTAATAAAATACTTGAACTCCTGTGGTTTCCCATAAACTTAGACTAAGATTTATAACACTATTAAAATATGTAAAATGTCACCTGGAGTATCACCAGACGTAGTCGTGGGGGTCTTCTGTTTGTTCCAAGATAATCACTTCCTAATTTTTGTTGTATACTACTCAGTCTGGGCTCTCTGTCCGTGACGATGAGCTTCGCAGCCGGACGAAGCGGACGCCCGC